GACTTCCATCCCCCCACCCACACCTACCTCTTGAGAGAAGCAGGCAAGGACTGTCCACTGGCCGGACAGAGGTAAGTCATAGGCCCAGACAGTGTCAGACACCTAGTCAGAGTCACACAGCAAGGCTGAAGGGTGGTGGGCCCCAAACCAAGCCCCTGCCTCTCTGCCCAGGGCTCATTTCAGGAGGCCTTCCTGTCCCTGACCCCTGACCTCCTGCTTCTGGCCCTGGTGGGTAGATCTGGTCCTCCAGTGGATGCAGGTGTGGGTGCGTGGGGGATGGGTACCACTCTGGACAAGCACATGTGTGTGAATAGAACAAAAACAGTAAAAATGCACCAGTTTGAGTTTTGTGATTATTCATCATGGCTGGGCTGGCATTTCCCTTGATACTGGCTTAAGGGAAAAGTCAATCCAGTAAATACATCCTGGGAGAATGATTGGGGACAAGGTCTCCTGTGAGGCCATTCCGCATACAGGAAAGGAACCGGTGGGCCCTTGCCAACCACTGGCTGGGAACTGGTCGCCTCTCTGGAGCCGGTGTTTGGAGCTGCGAGCTTGGAGATGGACATTTGGGGCTGGATATTTGAGGCCAGATACTTGGGCTGGGTTTCTAGAGCTTGGTTTTGAGGCTGAGCACTTGGACTGGGTACTTGGTGCTAGGTGCTTGGGCTTGCTTCTTAGACTAACCAAGGCTCCATTTGTTTACTGGCCTTATGCAAATGAGCCTGCCAGTCCCCTAACCTGACTCTGCTCTCTGTGGCTTCACAGTAGGCATGAAGGCTGTGACCCTGCCTGTCTGAGCTGTCTGTTCCATGCAGACCCCAGAGGAAAGGGAAAGAGAAGGCTTCTTTGGGCCTTTCCGTCAGGCCTTCCTGAGAGCCTCCCCCCCAATCCTCCCAAGCCAACAAGGCCAAGATCCCCAATCCCCTTCCCCTTCCCCCAAGCCATGTGCTTAAAGGAAGTGGCTTCTCAGTTCTTCACAGGAAGCCACAAGCATCCTCTGCCTGAGCTCCCACCAGCTACTGCTGACCCAGGCCCTCCATTGGCCCAGGTCTCCTTCTGGGCTTGGCCTAGGAATACTCTCTTCCCAGCTCCACCCTTGGTTGCTCAGCCAAGAAGTGTATGTGGAGTGCTTCTCTCATTTCCTTTAAATCCCTGTGGCTCAGGGCTGGGAGCACAGGCTGTAAGGTGAAAGCTGATCACAGAGGGCCTTGAATGGCATGCTCAGGAGCTTGACGATCCCAGAGCCCTAGGACTGAGGGTCTGGAAAGGAGAGGAGAGCGCAGGCCCTACATGAATCCCCAGGATGGACCCCTCCTGAGAGCTTCTGGAGCTCCTGCTGCAGAGCAGGGGTGGGGTCTGATTCATCTCAGTCTCTGGAGACCATCGTGGGGCCTGCCCCTGGGAGGTGGCTGCTGGTAACTGTGGAGCTGCTCATGGGTGGAGAAGATTCCAGGATGAGACTGTACTTCCACCTAGTGGCCACATTTGTACATAGCATCAAGGGATGTGGGAGCCACTGCAGGGAAGGGGAGTGAGTAGACTTTGAAGGGGAGTGAGTAGACTTTCAAGGGTATCAGAGTGGAGGAGCCCTTAAAGAATAAGGAAAATCTCTAGATAAAGGGAAGATGCTTATTAAAGAGAAAGACACCCCTAAACTGAATATCTGGGAGAGACATTCTAGGTCTGGGTGAGAGTCCAACTTCTCCCCTGCCCCATTGACAGACGAGGAAACTGAGGTCCAGAGATGATGACAGAGGATCTCAACGCTTTACAGCGAGTCAGCCACAGAGATGGGATCTATTTCTGGGCTCGTCCTCGGGTGTGGTCCCCGAATGAGGAGCTACCCTGCTAGTTTCTAGCCACCCTCATTTGTGACCAAACATGGCATCTCCCAGCACCATCACCCACCTTAGTCACCAAACTTGGCACCACAGGATGGCTTTTGGCTGCTTCCAAAAATAAAATCCACCCTCAGAGGGCTGGTATCTGACACAGCCCAGCGGATTCAGAAGCGTGTGCTCCAAGCTCAGCAGCCGTCTTGGAGCAGGAGGGGCCCAGAGTCTGTGATGCCCTCTCCTCGTTTTGCAAATGAGGAAGCTGGGTTCTGAGAAGGAGACTGGATTGCTGGAGGTGACCCAACTCTGGACTCGTCTTGTGTCTCTGAAAGTCACCTGTTGCATTAGTCAGTTCTGGTCAGTGACCATCATTCCGCCTCATGCTTTGTAGTCAGGATGGTGTGGGCTGTGCAGGCTGAGGCGGTGAGTGAAAGGAGATGGAAGGTGAGGAGCTGATAACAGGGAGGGAGCAGGGAGGTCAGGAATGTTTGGTTGGGGGGCTCCTTGTTTGTGTACTGAGACCTCCAAGTGGGTGGGAACTGGGTCTCTTCCACTGCACAGTACCTGACACAGTGCCTGGCACAGACTAGCACCCAGTAAATGGCTGCAGAAAGAAGGCAAAGAGTTATCCTGCACAGGTCCAAAGGAGGCCACACCTCTGTGGGAGGTCGGGTCTCCCCTCAAGGGCTTGGCCATTTTCCAGTGTCATTCATCCTGAGAATTGCTGAGGCCTCAGATCTCAAACCCTGGGGGTGTAGCTGCCCACCTCTCTCTGGCCTTGATGTCCTTCAGGGGAGTAAGAGACCAGGGTGTACGCTTCTGGGTTGTTGTTAGTTGCTGTCTGACTCATGGTAGTCCTATATGTGTGGAGCAGAACTGCTCCATAGGGTTTTCAAGGCTGTGACCTTTTGGAAGCAGATCACCAGGCCTGTCTTCTGAGGTATCTCTGGGTAGGTTCGAACGAGGAAGCTTTTGGCTAATAGTTGGGCGCTTATCTGTTTGCACCACCCAGGAACTCCATGCTTCTGGATGGGGGCCCTAATTTGGTGTCCACCCTTTGGAGATAGGCCAGGAAGAGCAGGGCCTGTGAGCCCCAGAGAGCAAACCCTGGCTCCAAAGTTGGATTGTCTAATTCCTGGTTGTTATGTGGCTATTTTGTCTTTATTTGATCCAAGTCCTTAATAATAATAACTAACATTGAATTATTGAATGCTTACTATGTGCCAGGCAGGCACCATGCTAAATCCGTTTCATTTTTTATCTCATCTAATCTCACTGCAACAACCCCTAGCCTGTAGGTTCAATTACTATCTCAGTTGACAGAGGGAACTGAGTCACAGAGAGGTGAAGCAACTTGCCTAAGGGTACATAGCTAGGTGGTGGCAGAGCAGGACTTGAACCCAGATCTGTGGGATTCCAGAGAACTCTTGATTATTATGCTCTACTGCCTTATTTGAAAATCCCAGCCTTGTCTGTGCTAAACAGAATATTAAGAAAAGGATTAGGAGCCTGTGTCTACTTGGGTCAGTGTTAAAGGGGATGCACAGCCTCCTCTTCCCTACAGGCCTGTACAATGTTGACATCGAGATCAGTGTGGGGTGGGGGGAAAATCAGGGAAAGGTTCAGAGAACAAGAGATCCAGCCCCCACTTCCCATGAGGATTGGGGAGAGTGAAGGGACAGGTAGATGGGAGTGGAGGAAACTGGCCTCGGGCTCAATTCTCACATATATTGAGCCCCTACTGTGTGCCAGGCATGTACCCAGAACTGGGGATGAGATCAGATACAGTGCCCTCCCTGAAGGGGCTGGGGAACACACATTTATTTCCCTGAGATGCTAACCTTCCAGACAGGGGTGAAATTAGCAGGTCACAGTAGGGTGCGATGCTTGAGACCCACCTCCCTCCATGGGCAGAAGTCCACTATACCCGTCCCTTCATGAACGGCCCTGTCCGAGGCAGGACTCTGCTTCGGCTTGAATAGTGAGTGAGCATCATGTCAGAGGGCTCAGCCCCTGCTTCTGCTCTCGGACACAAGCCGTGAAGATAGGGTTTGGGGTGCAGACAGTGCCCCACCACCTCTGCACCTCTGCTACAAACAGCACTTCTCTGGGGGCCCGGGGTAAGCCAGCTGTGGCAAACATTGGAAATGGGGGCAGAACAAGCTGAATGGGACCTCCTCCCCCCACCCCCCGCCGCAGCACTTAACTACAGAAGAATTTCTGGATTATAAGAGGGGCTGGGTGGGGGAGGCCTGAGGGCCAGCTGCCTTGGAGGTGCTCCTCACTGTTTTTTCCCATTGTGGGGAGGGGTCTCTAAGCCTCTTGATGTTATAGCCCTTTTGTGAGTAGCTTTTGTGGTTCACACACCCTTGGCTGGGGTGCAGGTCTCCCCAGGAGGGCTGGGTTAGTGCCGAGGAAGGTGTGCCCACTCAGTCAGTCCCTCCTCTCTCCACTAGTGCTGGAACCAGCCCCACCTTCAGTGTCATCTCATTTCCAGGGCTTCCTCTTTGCCTTTCCCCTGCTGTGATCTGGGCGCCCTGGACCACCTGACAGGCCTCCCAAAGTTCAAATGTCCCAGACAGGGCCTGGGTTGTCTTTCCCTTCCCATCCAGAAGGCCTATGAGCTTCATGTGCAAACAGTCACCCTGTCTCCAGAGCTCTGTTACACACCCCTTCCCCAGGGTAAGGGGGCTGGCCTTGTATTCTCCATCTGAGGGAAACCACTCTAGGGCCTCTTCAGAGAATGGAGATCTGGCTTCTCCATCTCTGCCTAATCAGAGAAGCAACTGGAAGCTTTTCTCACGGAGAATAAACTGAGCTCTGCCTCCTCATGCACCTTGTGAAATGGAGCCGAGGCATCCCTGCTGTGACAGGGTCTTAGAGGGCTCTTCTGGGAAGGCATCCCAGAATAGGGGATGTCTGATCAGGTTTGGAAGGATGAAGGGGAGTTTTTCAGGTAGTCGAGTTTCAGAAGGACATTCCAGACAGACAGCAGCATGTGCTAAGACTCAGAGACAATAGCAGCTGGTTGTGTTCCAGGAGCTGAGGAGGCTTCAGGGGAAAATGAGGGTGTGGGAGTGGGGATGAGACCTGCGAGAGCCAGATCTTGTTGGGTCTTCTCATAGCAAGGGTGATTCACGGAAAGACAAAGTGTTTTCTGAGGGGAGTTTATTTTGTTCTCTCATCTAGGTTGTTGAGGAGAGTGACAGGAAAGCTCTGGACTCCAACTAGAACAGGGAAGGCAAGGAGGAAGGAGGGGGTTCCTGGGAGCTGCTACTCCTCATCATTCTCCTCTTCCTTCCCACTCGCGAGGGTCTTATGGGCCACATAGCCCAGACCGGCACCAACCTTGGCCATGAGGGCACTGCCGCCGCCGCCAGCCCCTGTAAAGCAAGCACAGAAGGGTCACTGGTCTCTGGGAATCCAAATGTCTGGTTGAGTCCAAAAAGGCCCTGAGGGGGGAGGAGACTGCTGCAAAGTGAATCCTATTTCCCACTTACTTGCCATCTCAAATCAGAAACGTGTTTCAGAGAAGAAAAGGACACAACTAATGGCTTATTCTATGGAGCTGTACCTCATGTCTGCGAGGAACACACTGTTCTTAATAATGCTAATGACAGCCACTTTGTGGAGACGTCACTGTGTGGGTGCTGGGAGGTTCACAAACAAGAAGTCAGTTCATCCTTGGTGCAGCCCTGTGACTTTTGAGAGGACAACCATCTCATAGCCAACTGGAGAGTGTTCCTAGCCTTGGCCACTCCCTTCTCCCCCCAACTGCAGGGTGTGGTCTGGCCAGGCCCTTCCGCCTGCCCCCTCTGAGGAGAAGGCTCCATGCTGCCCAGCTGGTTCACTGGGCTTTTGCCATCAGTAACTATAACCATAACCGAGAGAGAAGATGGAGAGTTCAGATGGAGACAGAGGCGGAGTTTGTCAGGGGTGTTTTTCTTCAGGATTTTAGAGGCCTCAGAAAGACAGGGAGAGAGAAGGGAAGGAGAGGGGAAGGAAAGGAAAAACGGAAGGGAGGAGGGAGGGAGGAAAAGGGACAGGGCAGAGAGGGAGAGGGAAGCAGGGAGGCAGGGGGAGAGAGACCAAGGAGGAAGAAGAGGGAAGGAGGAAGAAGAGAGTGGGGAGGCTGGACCGGGAGAGGGAAGAATAGGGGGAAGGGAAAGGGGAGTGAGGGAGGAAAGGGAAAGGGGAGAGGAGGTGGGGGGGGGGCGCAGAGAGAGAGATGTTCTGTATCTGTCCTCTTCGTGGTATTCAAGAAACTCAAGTCAAGACCAGGGGTGCTGTGAAACTGATTTGGGTTGCTCCATCAGGTTTCTTTGCCACTATGACTCTCTGAAATAGAGCAGATTCATAAATGCTAAACTGAGATGATTATGCCTGTTTCCAGTTGCGGTATCAGAGGTTTGTGTTGAGTTGGCCAAAGCATCAGTGGGGCACCAGGCCTTAGAGGCTAAAAGCGAAGCTTCTGGAATCAGACTGACTGGGTTTGAAGCCTGGCTCTGGTACTAACTAGTTGCGAGAACTTGAGCAAATTACTTAAGCCCTGGGTGCCTCAGTTTTCCCATCTATATGATGGGGATAATAAGAGTGCCCACCTCATAGGGCTGAGTTAGCCTGAGAAAAGGGCTCAGAACAGTAGAGAGGACCCGCTGGTCCTGGCGCCCAGACTCACCGAGGCTCTGGAGAGTGGCCACCAGGCCCCCGGCAGGCACGCCGCCGCCATTCATCACCGCAGACCAACTCATCATCCAGGCGGCCACGGAGTTGGCTGCGATGCCGGCGCCGGTGAAGCCCACCAAGGGCAGCGCTGCGACCATGAGCCCTGGGGGAGGAGAAGACGTGAGCGCGAACCCGCAGCAGGGTCCCGCCCTCCCTGCCCGCCCCCGCCCCC